TTACGTAACAGTCCGAAAATTTAAATCACAGTTCCGCAAAAAATGGGCGTGTCTTAGGGCGACGCCTAAGTTGCTAGTGCATAAATGCGCGCTTACGAGTAACTCCGTAGTGCGAAGAGTGGAGTGAATACGACGACCTTGAAGAAAGTTATGAAAAGTCGCAGTTTGTAACAAATCCTTCAAAAGGTAGGTGCAATCGCGCATGTGCAGATGTACAGCCCTTTTCTGCTAGTGTGTATATGCGAAATAACAAAAGTGCAGAAAAATCCCAAAAGCAGAAGTTATCAAATAATATTTGAAAAAATACGACCACGCTGAAATGTGCACGTAGCTATGGGGCGAGGCTTGTAGTGGTGTCTAGTAAGTATGGGTAACTGAGTCTTGAATCTTGAAAAGTCGTGAATTTGGTTTGACAAGTTGTAAATTTGAAGTAAAAATAGCATGTAAGTCACCAGACTAGAGCACGCACGGCTTCTCCCGCAATTATATAGCAATCAATCTCTATATACGAATGTGCCAAAAAACCCATAAAACTAGAACGCGCGAGAGAATGCCACATATCAGTGTCAAAAAGTGCAATTTCACCGTTGGTTTCAAACGATAAACTGTAATCTAGTTTTAAGCTGCGGTGAATAAACTGGTAATCCACTTTTTAAGCTCGGAGGTAAATCCAAGGCTGCAAATAGCTTTTTGTTTCATTTACGATCACCGGACTTATGGCGGTACCAAAGCTTTTGAGGTTTCGCATTTAATCGACGATTTCGATGAGGAGAGTTATGGACTTTATCTCGACAAAGTAGCCTCAATGCATCTCTGGAAGTGCTTCCGAAGAGGGGCTCGAGTTACGAAAACTAAAACTAAAATAAAGCAAAAACAGGTACTCCTTCGTGAAAGGCTCAAATCTGAAAATGGTGATAAAAGAAAAGTCCATATTTTAATGGCATCATGAAATGAGGGCAATCATGCTGCCGACTGCGGAGCTAGCACTGAAAGAACTCTGAAACCGTCTGCGATGAGAGGCAATTACCCCATTGGGCCGCGCCATACCCTCGGATTTTACCTAAGATGAAATCTTCCTTCTGCTCCCGTGAAAGTTCAGCCAGTTGGTTGCTTGATTTGGGTATGGGAGGACTCAGTTAAATTCGAGAAGACACCCTTACACTCAGTCTTTTTTGACCGATATAGCGACTTGAACTAATGAGTGCTTATTTAGGTCAAGCTGTTACGGCCGAGCTAAATCGACGAGGTGCAACTGTTTATATGCTCATCCGTGACAAGCAGCGGGGCTTGGAATCCATAAAGAGGCTTCAAAAAGTGCGCAATAGATTGCATTGCTTATAATCATTATTCTTTTGATCACGGGTTGCCTTACGGTTGTTATTACTTTTACTTGTATTAATAGGAAGGATGCGATCCGAAGAGGTTAATCATTCGATATGTGGATTTGGCTCTTCTCAACTCTGTGCGGACTTTCGTAGAAGAATTCAGCCAAGGTCGTTTCATTCTAGTAGTACGAAGCTCAGGAAGAACGCTTTGCAATATAGCTGATATCGTCACAATCAGTCGGGGCAGTGCCAGGGCGGCTGACTATACCCGCGCACTGCTCATTTTTTTTACCAACAGCGGTCGGTCAGTTATCGTTTTCCGGAAGAAAACAATTACGAGGGGTGTTGATATTCTCGGTATGGTATGATGGAGAAGGCAGTGAACTCGAATAAAATTTATTTTTCAGTGTAATCCCTCATCACCTCAATACACTTGTTTACTAGGGAACTAGCTTCCTCAATACCCTCTAAAAATATGCCGCTAATTGCTGCCTTCAGCTCTTCATCGTCAGAAAAACTCTTTCCACGAAGATCTTTTCTGGGGAACAAGAAGTAATCACCAATTAGCCCTCACTTTTCTTTTGATTTTCTCAACTCTCTTTCCGTTTTTCTCAATTTTTTAAAATCAGTAATTATTTCCTCAACATTGTCGCATCAGCCATTCTGGTCTTCTTTTACCAAGGATAATTAGCCTAACACCCTCAGGGGTGTCGTTACCTATTGAAACGATTTAGAGTCTCGTCACTGCTTAATTACCCAATACCAAATGTACTTCCAACGGCACCCTTGCAGTGATGAAAACGTCGCGAGTGAGTTCATTCAATGCCCCTTGGCAGCGCTCCCACTAATTGCGACAAAGTCAACTCTGACAAAATACAAATCTGTTATGTCATGTTGAGAACTGTCCTAAAGACAAATTGCTTTCAGAAGTTCCTCGTCTCGACATTCTCATTTGCAATGCTGGCGTGCTTCGAGTCCCCACATTCACAAAAACCGTCGATGGATTCGAGAAAACATGGCAGTGCAACTACTTAAGTGAGCATTTTTTCTGCAAAATTAATTCGAATCCTCACCTTTTGCTGTCATTGCAATAGGTGTTCGCTCCCAGTCACATTTTTTTGCGTGAATCCTTGCTGCGATGAGTGTTCAAAGAGTGATGACTGCACTGTTCTAGCCATACATTAGCTCTTAGCCTTCGATACACTGCAGTTTATTATGAACCGACATACACTTCTCAACAACGGTTTCTTGCGCCAAAATTGGTACTAGGTTTCATTCTTGAGTTTCACATTCACGTTGTGCTTATCCCTTAAAGCAGCGTAATGATGAGAGACCGATTTTCGTTCTTCTAGAATTGCCGTCATTCCGTAGCATACGCTAGGTGTGGTGTTTTCTATTGTGAGTGACCCTTTTCCGTATAAGGTGGGTCCAAATATGGTCCTCGCAATGTGGAGGCCTGAGGGAGTTCTATCCGTTCCTGGTCTCAGTACCAGGTCGTGATAGTAGTCTAAACCCACTAGAATATGGGGGACTTGGTGCTCTCCTCGAAAGCTTTGAACTGGCCTAAACAAATAAATAAACAATAACAACATTGTTTTCTTTCAAAAATGTTATGTCCTTAGAGGTGAGTTGGATGCTCGGGAAACCGTTTGTAATTACCGGTTTTGTTCGAATCTTCAGTTCCATTTCTTCTCCAAATGCGGAGCATATCTTTATGGTGACTGCATGAGACTTAAACCTTTCTACATGGCCGCCCATACCCGACATTGTACAACTTCCCGTTGCCTGCCTAGGTATACCAAATTGGTCGGCCGTTCTTTCTTCTATGACCGTGTTCCCACAGAATCAAAGAAAAAGAGGACTTTCTCGTAACACCCTTTCTTGAAGTTCCATATGCTTCCTTCAGCAGTCATTAAGACTAGCTGGGAGCTTGTTTGGCCTTGATCTGAGTTTGAGGAAGATCAGATTCTGCCCTCATATGGGTGAGATTCGAAAAATTTCCCTGGTTATTGTGGTCATTGTTGGTCTCCCGGTCAGTATTAGGATTTCCACTGCTGTTATGATGTGATTCATGGGGCTGATGTGCTCGAACATTCCTCTCGCGGAAGTTGTGATGGTTAGTCCCTTCTCGAGCATGTCCTCGATTCGGGTTCCAGGAGTTTATTGCCACCATTGTTACTTCCTTCTTGACACATAAAGATATGTGGTGCTGTTGACCGCATCGCGTGCAATCTCCCTTTCGGCACTCAAAACTATTGTGGTCAAATGAAAACACTTCCACGCACTCTATTTCCTCTCATGAGATTTTCGGCCGACGCTGATCCGTAACCGTTCTACACGCCACCGACGAGTGGTTACTTCTACGGCAGAAGATACAGTTATCGCTACTTTGGGGTCGCGAGTCATCTGCCGCGACATTGCATGTTGTATTGGGAATGTTACCTAAGGCATGACCCAGTCTGCACTCTACATATTGCTTGGCGCTAATCTCCCTCTTAAGTGAGGTCATTAAATCTTCTATTGATTGCTGATCCTGGGACCTCGACCGCTGGATCACAGGTTTAACGACGTCCTGTGGAAACTTTGCCAATATGGTCTCGCACCATATTGGGTCACAGGTTTTACGCACGTCGTAGCCTGCCGATATCATTTGGTGGACCAGCACTTGGACCTGATCGAAGGCTGTCGAGCAACTCTCGGCAGAATCGCTTGCTGGTCTCATATTTACTAATTTTTGAACTATTTGAGCCCTATTTACGGGCTGATTAATATAATTATTTTTAAGGGTTTCTATTAGCCATTCCGTAGTTCTCTGGTACTAGTCTTATTCCTTTTATGGAATTTTGGGCTCTGCCCATTAGACTTTCTTTGAGGAGTAAAATTTTCTCCATTGTGTCCAGTTCACTACTATTGTGGACTAGCGTTTCGAAGACTGCCCAGTATTCTGGGAAGTCTTCAGCGCTACCATAGAATTTAGGTAGCGACGCTTGTGGGGGTTTTACCGAGCGGCAGGTCCTTGGCTGGCTTGCACGCTCAGGAGCCCTTGCTTCAGCGACGTCAGCTGAGGGGTGCTATTCCGGTCGGAGTCCTCGTCGGGGCTGTTTAGCGTCCCGCGGTCCTGTGACTCTAGCGCTCTCTGGGCCTTCTGCGTGAGATACCCCAGCTTAACATCCATCCTATCACGCGCGCACTTTGCCTCGTCTAAGCGGGCTGCGAGCATGAAGCCGAGCTCGTCCGCATCGGCTGTGATAGTATGGTAATTGGAGTCTTCTTCTATTTGCTCGATTTCGAGCATGAGATCTTTCCTTTCGGACTTATGTTTGCAGGCTTTATATTCCTCAATTATTACTTCAGACATTAAACCGCTTTTTGTATACTTCCTCGCTTCCCCTCTTTTATCTGCTTTATCTGCTTTGCCAACAAGGGCGATGGTGACTAGAATCTTTTTTTCGTAGGTCTCCTCATCAATATTCAGAAAGTCCACCTTAGTGGTGTATTCCCTATAGCGCGCTACCAAATTTTTAAGGGTATTGGCGCTTGCGATGATAGGTTTTCTGTGGAAATGAAGCGCCATTGTTATGAATTAAAATTTGAGAAATTGACTGTAAGAAATTGACTAGAATTTGAAATACTTCAACTGAAGAACCTCGTTCGATTCTATTCAGTGATTGAAGTTTTTGACTAACAGTTATTATAGAATCACGTTCGATTCTAATTGTTGACTGTAAAAGATTATCTAGCGCTGGTGTAGAACCACGTTCGATGTCTCGATTATCTTTACTTGTTAGCCATTCTTATTACTAGAAACCACGTTCGGCTCTATTTGTTAAGGTTACTGCGAAAGAATACGTTCCTAAATATGGATTATATGTACTATTCGGCTATTTTTTTAAGGCCGATGCACCAAAAATGTTGGGGGTGGTTCAGTGGTTATTTGATACAAAGCAAGAACAAGAACAATAAGTTGTATTAAGCTCTTTATATAACGGAACCCACGTGTACTCGATGAGGGATGGAGGAAAGTAGATTCCCCTACCTGGCTTGACCCGCGCTCAGGATAGGGGGCGGACTCTAAGAGGTTCAAGACCTGTGAGACGGACGACTGAGGGATGGCGGTCAGAGACGACGATATATTGTGACTTCCTTGCCTCAATCGCGACGGATCAAGCGGAAACGGTTTCGCAGAGGCTTACACTTCCCTGTTCCGCACGCGACTTCTCTTTCCGATCAGCGTGAAAAATCAACAACATCATTTTAATGACAAGAAATAATTTCAATTCGAGCGTAAATGCAACACGCCAAGGGAACTACAGCGCGGGCAAAGAAAAAAGTCACTTGAACAAGTCACATATGAGCAAAGTTTTCGCAGCCCAGACAGAGGACGTAGCTCTCGCCCATCACCTTCATGTACACCAAAATATGAAGTCATCTCCAGTCGCAGCCTGACTGGAGAAGACCTTTGGAATTCATGTCACCTCCAAACAGCTGCGAAACTTCTAATATGAGTCACAATGATAGCCTACTGGAGACCAGTATACTCTCGATCTGGAAGACGACCACCAACATCGAGGCAGCTCCAAAACGTTGCTACGGTCTAGGACATCCAATCCTCACACATATAACGTCGCTAACGGTCTAGGACATCATCCACCGTAAGTCGCCGAGGCGCGAGTTTAGGGTATGAACCGGACTGCCTGGAATGGGAAGACCGATATTTTCTTTGTAAGGGACTGAAGGTGAGCGCTGGCGGTTACATCGAGCAACTCGAGAAGAATATCCTCCCCACATGTCGCCGCCCCTACCTTCTTGGAAACTTTGTACTGCTACAGCATTGGGTGCCACCACGTGGAATCGAAGGGCGTTGGAGAAACTCTCGCCTACTTGGAATGGAAGGGGCTGAGTACCTAAAGAAGATGGAATATCCAAGTAGGTCACCTGACCTGAATCCCCTCAGTTAGTACCTGAAAAAAGATGAAACGTTCAATTACGTCCTCTGACCTAAGCTCTCTCACCGGGTTCGGGCGGAGCTCAACAAGGGGGTCTACAGTGGCCGAGAAATCAACTATCTCGCTGAAGCCAGGTACCCACTCACGGTTGCGTGGCAGAATCTCTCGATGGCGCTCCTCCAGAAGGCTGTGGCGGAGTATCATGATAGTATTTAATATGCTCTTTAATAAAGTGTAACTTATAGCGCCTCGAAGTCAAGGAAGAAAAGTGACTTTTTTTGCCCTCCCTCCTGTATGTGGTGAAGTTTTGATCTTAAATTAATTTCTGAATCGAAAGCGATGGTTTCTTGGATGACGGGAAGAAATAAGCGTCCTTGAACTGGAGTCTGGTATTTCAATGCGAGACCACACTCATTTCAGTCTATCTCTCTTGTTGACTACCCTTCTCTTCTTTTCTGAAAACGACCTGGAATTCTTGTTTTGGGGTAGTCCACAAAAAGGAGCTATTCTATTGCCATTACGCGAGACTTTGCATGACAGGCCAGAGAACAGACTCACACGTCTCAAACATTTTAGGAGTACAAAACCTGTCAATGCGAACTATTTCCTTCAAGATGCATAAGCTAA